GATTTGGGTTTAAAATGCCCCCTGGAGGGCCGGCCAAGTGGCACATTGGTTAAGAGCTGGCTTGGGACAGCAGAGGGCCCCGGTTCGGATCCCACATATGAGGGCCAGTGACACTGCCCTCTACAGCTAAGATGCTAAACAACAGCTCAACCTGGAGCTGGGCTGCCGTGAGTCGCCAGCGACAGAGTAGGCTGCAGCCCCTGTGGCAGTGGGTTGCCATGGGCTACCGTGTGTAGCCAGCAGCCAGCGTGAGCGGCCCTCAAGTCACCGTGAGCGGCCGTCCAGAAGCCGGCGACTGATCTGCCTCGCCCGGGAAGAGCGCAATGATGGTGCCAACTTGGGCCAGTGAAGCAACGTCCTCCACAACTAGACTGAAGAACAAAACGACAGCAACTTGTCTGTTCCCCTTCCCCCAATTCCCCAATTAAAAAAAAAAAATGAAATGCCCCCTGGAGTTTACATAGCGCAGTCCTCTTGGAGCTCATAGAGCCCCGACTCGGAGCACTTTCTCAAGGCTTTCCGACTTCAAGTTGTGGCAGATTGGGGTGGTTTATTCTGTAGTTTTACAGGGTGGCTTGAGAAAGCGTAAGGACCTGGCCCTTAAGACCTTTTCTGTTTGTGGGAGTAAGGCTTTGATGTCCCCATCGGGATTAGTGAGGTTTGAGTTTTAAACCTGTGTATATCTAGGGGCATGGGTTAGAAGGCAGTGCCTAAAACTGCCAGCCACCTTGAAGGAAAATGGTCAGTTTCTGCCTTTGCTTCCTCTGGTGGGTATTCCTCATTCATTCAGTTCAGGAGGGAGAACTAAAAAGGAGTAGTGTGTTTACAAGTAAATCAGTAAGGCATCATTTCCCATAATGCACTTTTTCCCACAGGTATTGCGTTCCTATTGTGTACCAGCCGTTCTTCTGGACACTGGCTCTCTCAGGGAACAGAACAAAGCTCTGCCCTGATGGACCTTTTCTTTTTGTAAGGGAGGACAGAGAGACAAAGACCGCTTCCGGTGGTGGTCGGTGCTATGGAGGAAAAGCAGGCTGAGGAGAATAGGGAGTATGGAGCTGCATGAAATCAAGAAGGCCTTTCCCATAAGGTGACATGTGAGAAAGGCCCGAAGGAAGTGAGGGAGAGCAAGCAATGTGGATATCTGGGAATTCCTACACAGAGGGAGCCACAGTGCAAAGGCCAGGCAGGAGCATAGTGAGTGGACTGGAGGAATAGCTCCGAGGCCAGCGTGGCTGGAGTGAGTGAGTGAGTGAGTGAGTGAGACGGAGCTATGGGCGGGGAGGTCAGAGAGTCAGCTGAGAGCAGGACTACCTGGCTTTTTGAAGAGATTTTGCCTTTTCCTCTGAGTGATATGGGAAGCCACTGGAGGGTTTTAAGTGTTAAAAGATGACTCTGGCCACTGTGTGGAGAAGAAACTGAAGGTTGGGTCAGGGGCAGGAGAGAGACCACTTATGAGGTTATTCATTGAGGTGAGAGTCTGCATACATTTTGAGATAGTGTTAACAGAATTTGTTGGTTGATTGGATGTCAGATGCGAAAAAAGAGTCAAGGATGACGCCAGAGTTTTTGTCTTGAGCAATTGCAAGCATGGAGTTGTCATTTATAGAAATGGGGAAGACTAGGGGCCACAGAATTTCTGGTTTGACTAAGTTTTAGGAAGAAACTGGAGATCCAAGAAAGAAAACGTTTGACTTAATCATTGGTTCCTTAATTCTCTCCATTCTCTCTGGCAGTAATTCATATTTGGGTCAATTCTCCCGCCATTTTGAGGGCAGAAGTATGACCCCATCATATTAGCTTTTAGGGATCTTTACCCACCTCTATAGTTCAGTGTGGGCAGAAGCTGTGGCCCAGAAGAGCCTCGGGGTAGATTCTGTCTCCGGGGGCATCCCTCGTTTCAGGTGCTGTTAGTGTCCTAGCGCTGCATAACTGATTACCACCAAGTGGGTGCTTTAAGACATGAGAAATTTATTCTCTCATGGTTTTGGAGGCCAGGATTCCAAAATGAAAGTGTTACAGGGCCCTGCTCCCTCGGGAGGGTCTAGGGAAGAATCCTTCCTTTCTCTTCCAAGCTGGTGGCTGCTGACCATCCTCGGTCTTCCTTATCAAAGCATGGCATTTTCCCTGTGTCTGTGTGTCCCTTGGTCTTCATGTGGCTTTCTTATGAGGACGCTAATCATTGGATTTAGGGCCCAACCTAATCCAGTGTGAGCTCATCTTAACTTGGCTACATCTGCAAAGACCCTATTTCCAAATTAGGTCACATGCACTGCTGTCAGGAGTTAGGACTTCAGTATATCTTTTTACGAGACATAATTCAACCCACAACAGATGCTTTGGTCCAGGTTTTATTATGAGTGTCTTGGGCTTCGATGTGTTTGAGAATGAGATGGACCTATTGAAACACAGTTTGAAAACAGGTCCTTCTATACTAGGGATGCCCATCTGTTGGGATGAAAAAAATTTTTTTAATATCCAGCAAATTTATTTAAAGATTTAAATACAGACAAGTTCATTTTGCATTTTTTTGAAACTTGAAGACTAGGACATGCGGTGGTAAGATCATGAAAAAATCCTGTAACTGGAAGTGGAAGATAGAAGAGACATCGAATGAAGAATTTTAAAGATAAGAATTACTTTGATTTTGATCTGCATTTGATACTGAATTTGATCTGAATTGATACTGAATTTGAGTGTCCAGAGGCCTGAGCAAGTAGGTAGAACTCTTGCTTATGTTCCAAGTTTGTGGTTTTGCCAGTAGGGGCAGCAAGTTGGCAGAGATGGAATGCACAGACCTGGGTCCCCGAGCCCTGGCCGACTCCTGCGGGAGGGAGTACAACCCTGCTGGCTCCACTAGCCTTTTCCTTAGGTTCCCACGGGGCTGGGTGCTACACAGTCCTCGCTATCTAGCTGCTGCTCCCCTTCTGTGCAACACCCCGGACATGTACATTCTTTAGTGGTGTGTCAGGAGTTACTAGTATTTCCCTCTTCTTAACTCACCACAAGTAGAGTCAAAGGGTTGTTTATCAAAGGAAGTTTAAGTGCCCACTCTGATATCACAATGATAGGACTCGGTTAGGTTTAACAGGGTAATTAAAAAAAATCCTTTAAAAACAATATACATTTATGGCTATTATGATGCTCACTAGGAGTATTTATGGCACCCCTGTTGTTTTCTAAGGAATGGTGTACAAGTTGGACAGATGGGAGATGAGTAAAGAGTTATATGGCTCTTTCTAGCCTTCAGGAAATTTGAAGTTAGAAGACAAACAGGCATCAGAGTTTCACATAAGAACTGATAAAGATTTGTGGATGCCACAGCATTTGGCACCTACAGGAAAAAGTCTCTAAATGTATCATTTAATAAGAGAGCGGGGGAAGTTATAGGCAGGGTTATGTAGAGAGGTTTAGTGGTGTAGGCCTCAAGCAATAGAGGCATTCATTTTTTATTTTTTTTAAAGATTTTTATTGGGGAATTGGGATGGAACAGTGCTGGGGAATTGGGGGAAGGGGAACAGACAAGTTGCTGTCCTTTTTGTTCTTCAGTCTAGTTGTGGAGGATGTTGCTTCCCTGGCCCAAGTTGGCACCATCATTGCGCTCTTCCCGGGCGAGGCAGATCAGTCGCCGGCTTCTGGA